ACCGCAGCGAGGCACGCGTCGTAGTCACCGCGCTCGCAGAGGTCCACCACATGCTGCACATGGCTTGTGAACTCGTCGTCCTCCTGAGCCTTTGCGTCGTCGCTCACCAAATCAAGCAACATCTGCACGGCGGCGCTCGTCTCCTCACTCTGCATCTTGAGTGTCTCCAAGTGAGGGATCTCCTTGCCTGCATCCAACGTCGCCGTAAACACGGCCAGGTACCTCATGGTACTCTTGCCTCTGCTATTATGCAGCGCACCGCACGCAAACGGGCCTGCAAAGTCTCCGCTGAGTTCACCTGGACAGTGATCTGGCTGCCGGAAGTGCTGCCTCGATCGTCCCAGGCCAGCCTGACACGAGTAACACTCCTTGTCATACTGAGCATGATGGCTCTCATGATGCTGCTTCGCCGTCATCTTCTTGGATGATGAGCTAGACATCACTAAATCTAGGCATCTTCTGACCTCGTCGTTCACAGCGATGTCCTGTCCGGCTGCAGCACGCTGCATCACCTGCTCGCGGAAATCCTTGACAAAGACCTCCTGGTCCGCCAGGGCGAGGGGCTCGGCACTGCTGATCACCTCCTCTCGGTTAGCCTCGGGGCCCTGGGTCTGCTGTGGAGTCTGCGGTTCATCGCAAAGACTCCTCCTGATCGCCTCTTGCAAGTTTACCTCCTGCAAATCGTCCACATGCATATTATTCTCAAACGTGCCCTCGTCTCCTGCCTGCGCCGGGGCCCTGCCTGAAGAGCTGGACGTCCTCGAAACTGCTGGTGGGTGCGCGTCAATGAGTGCTTGTAGCCTGGCGTACATGTTGTTCATCTCCTCATCTTCCTCGTCGCCGCCGAGCGCGGCAACCAGGCAGTCGTAGAGCTCCTCCTGTTCGTCGGCGGTGAGTGCGGCGACTAAACATCCCTGGCTCTGCTCGACCTCTGCTAAAGCCTCCATTAAAGCTTCGCCCACCTCACGGGGGACAAGGGGAACATCATTCACAATCGTGACCGGCACGGTCACGTGCTCTCCGGCTGGGTTAGTCCATGACAACTGAACGTCATCATGCTTCCAGCTCATGTGCATCCGCAACTTGGAAATCATCCTGCCGAGCGGCAAGATACGATCTTTTCCCTCAATCTCGCGCCTGGCCTTGTCCACTGGGAGAC